CAACCTTTTAAAGTGGGACAGAGGGTCTTGCTCGGAACACACATGGTTCCCATATTGTCTTAACTCTCCCTATTAGATTGGTGGGAGTGGATGATCCTTGAGATAAAATCTGGGAATTTTAGTCTTAATTAAACAGAACCAGCGGCATAACTGTTGTCATGGCAATGGCACGACGGGTGTCATTATGTTTCTTTTGTGATGTACATTTCTGGTGCCAAGTTTAAAGAACACTGCTTTTACATTTCTAGAGTTATTCGCGATTGAGTGTTGTGCTGTTTTAGTGGAACCACCTATGCCGTCATCACTTTCCTCACAAAAACGTAAATATCTCTAAAACCAAAAAAGATATTCCAAAAAGGAAAATGCCACTCTTCTTCACTTTGAAAAGCCTTTCAAATAAGCTGCAATTATTTTTTACTTCATAGGCATTTTAAATAAAAAGTGAATAAGAATCTTGTAGCAAATTAAAGAATTAAAGAATGTCAAAGTTCCCTAGATGTGGAAGGTGTCTCATATTTAATTCAAATGAAGGACAATCGGCGATTTGACTTACAGAGAAAAGAGTGAAAGATTTCCTAACCCACATAAATTCAACAACTGAAAAATTCTCTCCCTCCTGAATCCACAGATATAACGTCATGTCACGAATTCAGTCACGCCTTAATTGAACAAAAACGTCTTTTAAAGCAATGGCAAATATTTCATTTCCACAACGGCCCTCAAAATGCTACACACTAAAAACAATATTTCACTGTGAAAATAATCAGTTCGTCATAAAATTACAACTCAAAAAGCTTCAAAGCCAACTCAGAATATATTTCACTTCCACCGTTGAGAACCGCGCTCGCCCTTCCCTGGCAATGTCTGTCGACACTGCAATGTTCACAGTTTTCGTAAACGACGCAAACTTCGTAATTTTCGTAAATTTGGTTGGGGCCTTCCCTAAACTTCTTATATTGATTTGTCGATTTTCCACAGCAGTTTTGCGAGTTATCGTAATTTCGCAGTTTTCGTAATGTTCGTGAAAAAATTTCGTAGATTTTTCCTTCTTTAATCTCTTGAAGTTACGAAGTTTTCTTAAATTTCGTGTGATTCGCAATTTTAATAGGTCTCGTTCGGGCCTTGCTGTAACCTCTTAAATTGATTTGTCGTTTACATCGATTTTCTCAGTTTGAGTACATTTCGTAAGTGACATTTCGTAAGTACATTTTCAAAAGGCTCTAAAAGTGTCAAATAGTAGCTTGTAAGCTAAACGTTTTGGGCTTGGCCCTTCTTCAGTTGGTGGAATGATCGAGCCACGCCATACAAACAACTGTATGCGTACGCACGCACGGAAAGCGCGCACACGAAGT